TGGGGGAAAGGGAGAGTAAATACACAAAGCAGTGGTCATTCTTGCCCTGTGTGCTGCAAAGATGCAGTCGTTAGCTGCAAACGAAGTTCAGGTGGGCCTTTGGGGTGGGCAGTGGAGGCAGGGCAATTAGGCTGCTGTGCACGCACACACACACACTCACACACACTCACATACACACACACTCACACACGCACACTCACACGCACATGCGCACACTCACACGCACACATACACTCACTCTCACACACTCACACGCACACACGTACACTCACACTCACACTCACACACACACTCACACTCACACACACACATCCTATTGTTCTGTTTTTCTGGAGACCTCCAATGGACACAGGCCCGTTATTCAGCGCTTGGTGCCTTGCCCATCAAGCAAGGATGATGATTATTTTAATAATCATCTGTACTGTGTTGTCTGTAGTCCAGGTCCTTGTCCAGAGTCCACAAACCCCAGTGAAGTCCATGCTGTGGTATCCTCCCCATTTCGGAGGTGGGGAACCTGAGGCAAGGAAGGCTTAAGTAAAACGCCCAGACCTCCCATGTCTGAACCCACGGGGTCTGCCCCAAGTCCACGAAAGTCATGCTGCACTGCTGGTCCCCTGCCTTGTGGCTTTGGGCATGCGCTGATTTATTCAACTATAGGCGCAGTGTATCTGATATTGTGTCGGCCTCTGCTTTTCCATCTACATACTAATCACTATTCCCGCTGCTCAGCACTCTCCTCGGCTGGCTGCTGTCCTCTCCCAGAGTCAGGGGCCGCCTGCCAGGAGCCCCCAGGAGAGCCACGGGGCAGTCTGGGCCCCGTCCCCACCGTGCATGGCCAGAGCGGAGGGCTGGGCCCCTTCAGCGGCGGCGCCCCAGAGCCTGTGGTCCCCAGCACCACTTGGAATAAACGATCAAGTTATGAATTAAGCACAACAGAATGTAATTACCATGGGAGCCAGCTGAGAATAAAATGCATTATACACACAACAGTCACTACATGGCCCTCACATGTGCCTTTCTAATGTGCTACCAATTAGAATAAATCTAAGCAGTTATCACCCAGAGAAATTGCTCCCACAGTTCATCTCTGTGTCCCCAAGGGGCCGGCACAGAGAGAAAGTGCCTTGAGCCCAGGGGTTTCGCCCGCCAGCCCAGCTGATCCGTTAGGGACTACAGGCCTCTAGCCTCAGACCAGACAGGGGTCACCTCGGGGTCCTGGGATGACCCGATGACGGCAGTCAGCACTGCGTTTCTCGGGGGCGTCCTCAGAGCTCTGCACAGACACACCCGTTCATCCTCACCTGCGCTAACACCTGCGACCATGCAAATGAGCCTCAGAACATGGCGCCCAGTGAGCGCAGCCAGAGCCAGAAGGCCGCGCGCGTGGTGTGCGAGCCCATTGACAGGAGCTGTCCGGGACAGAGTTCCAGCGACAGGAGGTGGGGCAGTGGCGGCGGGGGTGGGGCCGGGGCCGGGGCTGGGGCCAGTGTTTCATACGCCGGGATGAAAACACTCCAGCTGACCGTGGTGGCAGTCACTCAAACCCACTGACTGTACACGCTAACGGGTGAGCCACACGGCGTGTGATCTACACTGCAATAATGCAGTTTGCACAAAATGTGAGCTTTAAACAAGTACCCCTCCCCTTCCCAGCCCGGACCCCGTTCAATGGCAACGACAGGAGAGGAAGAATCTGGAAGCACTGGCTTCTGCCAGGAACTGGGGTCCCACACCTGAAGGGGGCCGGGGGTCTTCCATCAGGGAGAGCGTGTTTGGGAGCTTGGAGGGTTCCAGGCGCTGTCTGTGGGTCAGTCCCAGCGGCCCGCCGAGCTCTGTCCCAGGTCCCCGCTGCCCTCCCGCTGGCCGTTTCCCTGGGGCTCAGCCCTGGGCCTGGCCTAGAGCAGGTGCTCTATTAATTCTCGAATGTCGTCCACAGGCCTGGGAGCCTGTCAGTTGCCAGCTCTCTGCTCAACCCCACACCCTGCCCAGTTCCTGTCAAATAAAGGCAGCTGGGTTGGGAGGCGTGGGCAGCTCCCAGTTGCAGAAGTGTCTCCCAGGGGAGTGGGAAGACGAGGCCCAGCTGTGGCTTGTGTTTGTGGAGAAGGGAGGACAGCTGGGGATGAGGACGTGGGTCCTGCCCACCTGGTGGGCTGGCTGGGCTCTGGCTTCCAGGGAGCCTGACACCCAGGACGTGTCTGTGCTGCCCCCTGGTGCCTAGTGGCTGCAACTGCGGGTCCTCTGAGCCCCCTGGCTCTGCATAGGAGAGGCCAGAAGGTGGGGTGCTGGGCTCAGAGCTCACACCAGAAGTGGTGCCTGGGGGCCCAGGTCCGAGGTGGAATCAGAAGACAACCAGCCAATTCCCCCTGCACTGGAGAAGGCAGGGCACGTCCTGGATTCCCGAGGCCACGGTCCCCCAGCTTTCGCTGTCCCCAGAGGACAAGGGGGCCGTTTGCTCAGGACACCAGCCCAGGATGCCTGAATGCACGGGAGAGGGAGGCCCCTGCCTTTGGCAGCGCAGCGACTGGGGTCAGACGTTGACAACACCTTGAGGCACCTCCAGCTGGCAGTGCCACGAATGGGGTCTTTTGTTTTGCTTCGATATTGCTTCTTCTAAGAATGGTCTGCTGAGCACTGTGACATCCCTACCCTCCAGATGCCAACAGACACCCCCACCCCAAAAGCAGGCAAGAGGACACCCCGGAGAGCTGGGCCTCACTCAGGGCCAAGTAGGACCTGAGGCCTGGGGAGCGGAACACCCCCAAAGACTGACTCTGACCCGGGCCCCTGAGGGTGGGGGGACGAAGACAGAGGGTATGGTCCAGACGGAGGGTTCGTGGGACCCGACCTGCAGAGGCGGCGGGGAGGGAACGTGAGGAGCCCAGGGCTGTCGTCTCACTTGAGGGCTCCATGGATGACGTGGGAGCCAGGGTGTGGCAGCTGGACCACCGGGCAGGTCCTGAGGTGGCGTGTGCCCAGGGCTGGAGGGGAGGAGCCATTTAGAAGGAGTTTTGAGGTGAAACTAAGGGTAACAAGGACCCAATGTGGCTGAGGTGTAGAGATGTCACAACAAACAGGTGAGGAGGCACAAGCTGCTCCTGGGAGAGGCTGGGGTGGGCTCTGTGGGATGCCCAGGCCCCGGGGCAGCCCAGCCACGGGTGTGGGTGAGATCGTGGGAACACGAGATGTCAGGAGGTGAGGCCAGGACGGAGCTCCGGGGACTCCAACATTAGACTCTCTCACCTGGGTGGTGGGTGAGGCAGTGAGGAGCCTCCTGGGGGAGCAGAAACCCACCTCCCGCACCCACTCCTCCATTTGACATGGTGTTGACAGCGAGCTTCTGAGCACCTTATGCAGACGCAGTGGACGTTGTAGTCGGTCATTGCCCAGCCTGGTCATCACTCCATCAGAACTGGACATTTACGAAAAGATAACCCAGTACCGGGCTCCTTGTGCCGTTTCTCAAAACACACGCACACGCACACGCACACGCACACTCTTGCCCCAGGGGCAGTGTCTGGCCACCTGTCCTGAGTCCCATGCTTCCAGATGGGAGTCCCGGTCATTTATGAAAGTGAAGCGGGACCCCACGCTGAGGACCCAGGTAGGCTGGACCCTGAAGGGAGGAGACTCTTGGGTCACAATGAGGGAAGCGGTCCCTGGAAGGAAACCCCCACCCGGAGGCCGTGGCCAAGTGAGGGCTCATCGACGCAGCCCACTGCAGGCTCACAAAAACTCACATGGAGCATGTGCAGAACTACCCGAGTTTGCGTATTCAAAGAATAAAGCACACTGGGTGATGCTTTAAATATCAAAATATATTTATATACACACAATTTTAACTGAGGACACCCGGGAGCAAACATCCCGGGAAAGCCTGACGGATGCCCTCCAGGCAGGATGCACAGCTGCCCTCTGCCCACCACACGATCGGGTAAAAAACAGGTTCTATAAATAAGTGTTTATGCAAAATATGGGTCTGTAGACATAGGCTTATGGAGCTGCTCCCATCCCAGGACAGGCGGCGGCAGCAGGTTTTGAATCACACATCAAGGAGAAGGCGCCACATGGGTCACGGGAAACGGTCTCCCAGCTGCTTCCCCTCCATCAGGACCAACACGGGACTCAGTCGGAGGCACCACCGGGCCACCAGCACGCCCACGGTGGGTGGCAGCACTCCGTACTTTCCACTGAGTGGCCCCGCCAGCGCCTGTGCAATCAGCGAGAACCTGTGCGAGCCCTGTGTGCGCCAACATCATAGCACAATCGATAAACTGTGGCACCGCCAGCTTCTCACAGCGGCCATTTACAAAGAATCAAGGGAGAGGGGATGCGTCTCAGCTCGGTCCGTGCACATCTCATAGCTTCCGATGGAGTTAACTCAAGACCGCGCAGGCTTTTAAAAGCTCTGCTGATGTGCCCAGGGTTCCTGAGGTCCGTCAACGCTGTTCGGCTATGTCCACTGGGGAAAAGCCAGAGTGTGAAATGGCTGGGAAAAGGGGGGGCGAGGAGCGGAGGCAGCGCTGTGTCCCCCAGGGAAGGGGTCCAGTGGCAGGGCGGGCCCCGCTCCTTCCGAACCAGAAGGTGCCCCGCTCCCCACCATGTGCGTTTGGGACGTGTCATGCGTTCTTTCTCCTTGCTGCCTTTGAGGCTCGGATATGTGCGGCCCCTGGTTTGGACCCCCCGGAATCCAACGGGAGATTTTCCAAGGATCCTCAGCACTGGGCGAGCAATTGGTGAGGGGTCAGCCCTTTTGGGGAGAAGTTGGATGGTGTTTTCGGGGAACGCTGATTGGTGGCCCAGGCCTGGAGCGGGCAGGAGGGCCGTCAGACATCCCTCTGAAGCTGGAGGGCCGAGGGGGCATCCTGGAGGTCTGTGGGGTTGTCGGAGGCAGAGGACTGGCTGGGCAGAGAAGTTTCCAGGCCGTGGGAAGCCCCTGAGGGGTGCTTGTACAGGAAGCAGGCGGTGGCAAAGAAGAGAAAGCCCAGCACCTGGGAAGAAAGGAACTGCTGGACGGAGCCACGTGACCTCCGACCGGAGCTGCCCACTCAGCACTCGCAGTTCTGAGCCCCCGCCTGGCCTGGGTTCCTCTCAAGGTCCCGAGGACCCCTGCTCTGGCGAGAAGACCCACCTTTCCTGCATAGCTAGTCCCCAGCATGTACACCAATACTGTAACTGAGGAATGGAGACGCCCTTTGACTAAAAATAGAGGCACTTGGGGGGGTGCTTGTTGTGGGCTGAACAGTCAGTGCCCCCCTAAAAGACATGTCCAAATCCTTACCCCCAGAACCTGTGAATGGGACCTTAATTTGGAAATAGGGTCTTTGCAAATGTGACTAAGTTAAGGATCTTGAGATGAGATGGCTGGGCTAGGGTGGTCCCCCAATCCAATGGCTGGTGTCCTCACGAGGAAGCAGAGACCGATTTGACACAAATACGCACAGGGAGAGGCCACGTGAACATGGAGGCAGAGATGGGGCGATGCGTCCACGAGCCAAGGGCTGCCAGCTGCCCCTGACACTGGGGGACAGGCCTGGGACGGGTCCTCCCTTGGAGCCCCTGAAAGAGCCAACCCTGTGACACCTGGATCTGGGAGTTCTGCCTCCAGGACTGGGAGAATCGATTCCTGCTGTTTGCAGCCGCCTGGTTTGTGGTCCATTGTTACAGTGGCCCCAGGAACCTAGCTCAGAAGAGGTTAGCACCGGTGCTCCAACCTCACGGGTCATGACAGGGATGACACACGGGCTTGCAAAGGACCGTGGGAGCACGTGTGCTGGCCTCTGTATACACGTGTGAACATTAACATGTAAATGCTGGTTTTAGCAGAAACACACCCCGCCCCCCGTGCTTCCTGGAGCGTCTTGGGGCTGACGGGCCTGAAGCTGCATTAGTGAGTGAGGCTGTTTCCACTTTGCAGAGCGATTAAACTCCTGGGGTGCACCTGTCTGCGCCTCTGCTGGCATTAGCCCATCCTAACCTCTGTGGTCCTTGTTGTCTGTGCCGAGGTCGCAGGTGATTACCTGGGCAGGCAGACGCCCCGGGCACCACCTGCGGCTCTGGGTAGGGGGCCATATAACACAAACAAGAAAACCAAGGGCCAGCTCCCCAGGAAGGGCATGTCTCTTTAAAATTGACCCAGTGCTATTCTGCAGAGCCCCACAAACCCCTCCTCACACTTGGCTCTTTTTACCTAATCTGCAGGGAGATAAACTAGGGTCAGCTGAGACTCCTCCATCTTTGAGGCCTTTCATGAAAAGGCTGCTGCCAGTGGGCCGTTCCTGAGTCCGCCCTCCATCCAAGGAAGAAAACGGAGACACTCTGACTGACTGGCCTGGGATTTCATTTTATTTGGAAGGTTCTGTGCCCTCTCCTCCAGTGGGGGGGGAAATTCAAAACAAACTCTGTGCTTCACCCCAGGAGCATCTGCCAAGAGTTACAGCGGAAGTTTCTCCACAAAGCTTGAAACAGAGGGTCAGGCTAGAAATGGGACGGCGCCCTGGGCACATTAGAGTCTGTTGCTCAGACGCATCATGCCAACCTGGCCGACGTGTGCAGGGCTGCCAGGCTGCTCTATGCAGGGCACCGGGTGCTATTTTTCCAAAGCCTTAGCTGCCCAGAGCCACAGGGCAAACCCCCAGGCTGGGAGACAGGGGAGGGGGCTGCTCCCAACGCCCGGAGCTGCAAGCTGCAGGCGCCCGTGACCCTGGCCTGCTCTCCCCCACTGCCCCCTCTGCTGTCACCACATCACCAGGGTCCCAACAACACCTCTAAATGCGGAAGGACACCGCTTCTGCACACCAGGCAGGAGTGATGCCTTCGGCCCCCAGGATCAGAGGTCCTGGTGGAGTGCCTAGACCCCTCCACTCACCTTATACACCAGCCCGGCGACAAGCATGTACCGGCTCATGGCCGCATTCTGGTACACAAAGCAGGAACCCTGCCTGCCGCACTGGTCCTGCCACAGCAGGCACGCCTTGTCGATCACCCAGCCAAAGGCGATGGGCCCTGGGATGCCCCCTACAAAGAGAAGCCCACTCAGAACCCCAGCACGCCAGGGTGGGAGGGTGCGACAGGCAGTGCCAGCGCCCCGGCAAGCCCAGGCTCTCAGAAAGGCGACCTCAGCCATTGGTGTTCTCAGGGGGTGCAGGGGGAACTTAAATGTGCCTCTGGGGGACTTGGCATCAGGCCAGGTGATTCCCCATGACCTCTGACCCCCACGGAGCCTTTGTGTTAATGAGGAAAAGGCTCCCTCTGGGCAAAGAAATGGCCATGGGTCCCTCTAGCGGCCTGTAAGGGAATGGCGTCCTTCCCCAGGTGGGCACAGCCTCCCTCGGTCAGGAATGCACACCAGCTTGGTGAGGAGACGCCTGCCAGGTGCCCTTATGCAGTGAACACACTGCACCACTGTCCATGGTTTCCTCACACTGCACAGTACCTAGAGTTCTAACCACAATCCACTGGATTCCCAGTGCGAAGGATCTCTGCTGGTCACAGACACACCTGAAATGGGGAAACACAGCGTCACGCCTGAGGGAAGGGTGGCTGTTCGCCAAGTCACACCCCCAAGCCAGAGGCCACGTCCTGGCTGAGACCCAGGCTGCAGCACCGCCTCCCCAGGTGGCAAGCACCTCACAGAGGCATAGTTCTTTCCTGCCACTGCTTTCAGGGGGCCTGGCAGGCACCCCGCAGGATCTGCAGAGCTCCACCATAGCACGCTGCAAGGGAAGGTTCTGGGCCGCAGTGGAGCCCAGGCCCCGTGGCTTACCGTAAAGTTGCCGTCAGCGCAGGAATGCTGCTGAGGAATGTAAAGATAATTACAACGAATATGAAAACCAGAAGGAGGGGCTTTCTTTGACAAGTTGAAGTGCATTTCCCTGCAGTAGCACTGCCAAAACCAGAGGAAAAATTCTGAGGGACACAGCTACAGTCTCGGTACACCTGAGGACCGCAACAACAGCGCCGATTACAGGAGGAAGAGACAGGGGCCCTCCCAGGGTCCGGGGCGCAATGGCCGGGAAGTGGGCAGCGGCCGCACTCACCTTCTGGCCTCCTGGGCCAGACACGGCTGTCTCAGGGCACCCTGCGTGGCAGGGCGAGTAATACATGAGGCCATCGGAGCCGCACACGGGGCTGTAGTGTTCTGGCCGGCAGCCACAGGCGACGTTGCAGGCAGCTGTCAGGTCCAGGTGACCCTCGGGCAGGAGGCTGCAGACAGGAGATTCGGGTGGTGAGGCTGAGGCCAGGGCCAGGCGGGGCCCCGCCTGGACACAGGGCCAGCCTCGGGTCTCATCCCCACCAGCCCACGTCTGTGGGTTTACACAGAACGGAACTTCATACGTTGCCTCTTGCTCCCAGGATCCTTGGAAGTTCTCACAGCAAAGCAAACGCAGCCCTGCGCTGCTCTCCAACCACGAGTGCAATGCGCACCTGGGCTGGCTTGTATTTCGGACGGGCCGTGGATTCACACGGCTCAAAACGAGAAAGGGGACTGGGTCCGACGCCCCGCACGACACTGACTCCGCTCACTAGCACAGGCCCCGGCCGCACGTGTGCAGATCGCTGATCCGTGCACACATCGGCGGTCGCAGACACATGCTTTCTTTTTTACTCACACTGGTCATACTGCACACGCTGCACTGCTCCTTCTGTTCTCCCCACTCAACATTGTGTTTTGGAGGTGGCCCAAGCACCACAGCCCTCCTCCCGTTGGTGGTGGCAGAGCCCTGTGTGCGGGGCACAGGCAGTTCAGCCAGTCCACTCTCCGCCGACTCTTAGATTTTCCCGATTGTGGTTCGCTGACAAAGCTACCACCACCACCAGGAATTCTGGGGGGGACTTGCAGGGCCCCGGGGCAGGTCCCCTGCTTCTATTTCAGATTTCCCCAAATCAACACCCAAAGGGCTATTCCCCTCATATTCCCAGGACACAATGACGCACGGGGCTGATCCTTAGCCACTGTCCACGTCAATACATAGACAGGCTGGGCTGTTATTGTCCCATTTTATAGGTGGGAATACTGAGGCTCAGAGCCGGGCCAGAGCCCAGGGGCCTTTATAGTGACTGTTAATTGGTGTGATGTGCGCCCCACTGAGGGTGTTGTCCTTGCTGCAAACAGTGACCTTCCCTCCCACGGACCAATGTGCCCCACAGGTGAGCTGGGGGCCTTACCTCCCACCATAGCTGGCCGTCACGCCTGCCGTGGGCACATTGGGGCAGTGTGTGAAGAAGACCAAGATGGCCAGCAGGCTGGTGAGGGTGCAGAGGAGGCAGAACTTGATGATGCTTGAGCCACGGAGCTTGAACTTGTTCACGAAAAAGCCACCTAGGAAGGTGCCGCCGCCACCCGCCGGCACCACCAGGTACCCTGTGGGAGAGGGTGAGGCTCAGGGCGGGGTTCAGCAGTGTCCTTAACCCATCGTGTCTTGTTATCCCCACTTTACAGATGGGACACTGAGGCTCAGACAGACCGACCCCTGTCCGGGTGGCAGCGCTGGGCTCTCTGTGCGCCGGGCCCTGACCGGAGCTCTCAGCCACTGCTCTGCTGCTGGGGCAGCCTTGGCCCAGGGCCCAGGGGCAGGGCAAGACTGGGACGGGCAGAGGTCAGGGGCACCAGCTCACAGCCTCTGCCCGTCAAACTGTGGGGGGACATCTGAACTCTGTGGCCATGGCCATTTACTGTGAAGTTGAGATTAGCTGGCATGGGGATCCCAGGATGGGAGTAGAGGCTCCAAGGGGCAGGGGGGGCCATCTCCCCAGCAGTGACCAAAGCCCGCTCTGGGAGTAGTAGTGGGGGGACTCCAGAAAATGTGACTGTTCCAGGAGAGGGGCCCCTGTAGGGAAGGGGAGGCAGTTGTTGTGGGTGGGGTTCTGGGCATGTGGGGTCGGCTGAGAGGCCAGGCGAGGAGGGGTGTCCAGGGGCATTAGTCAGAAACGGGGGGCAGGGCCTCCTGGGCAGGGAATGGAACCCTGAGGGGTGGGCACTGCTGGACTGGCGCTGCTCAGACACACCCCACATTCCACACATCACATGGACTCCGTGCCCTGTGACGAGGTCCCCACCTCCTGCCAGGCGTGTTCTCGGCGAGGCTGCAGCTGCCCCGTGAGCAGTGGCAGGAGAGGAGGCCTGAGGGCCCTTGCTCTCCTGGGAGGGCCTGCCTATTCACCACAGAACGCCTGCGGCGGGGCAGGTCCAAGGCGGCTAGCCTCATGGCTCACAGGGACGCCCAAGCCCAAGGGTCTGAGTGCCCACTGGAGCGCTGCCACCCAAACCCTTCCTGCAATAAGCCAGGGACGACACAGGCCGAGGCCCTCGGTGGTGAGCTGGCGGCACAGGTGAGCTGCAGCCTGCCCCTGGCTGGTCCCCTGAGCTTGAGCGGGGTCCCACTAGGAGGGTCCTCAGAGAGACCGGTCAGCACACCCTGCCCGGGAAGGACAGTCCGCTCTCGTAAACACGGTCAGGTTTATGAGTAACATTGCTTGTGTAAAAGCCGACATTCGCTCTCCCAGCACATGTGGCGCAGTGCTGTCTGGGGCTTTCCAGAAGACCCCCTCAAAGACCCACTCTCGCCTGAGAAATAACAGAGAGGATTCCCAGATTTGGCAGTTTTCTCACCAAACAAGGTGGCCGCTTCTGAGGCACTCAGGCTGAACTGGGACTCGAGGAACTTGGGGCCAAAGGTGGACATGCCGGCAATGAGGGTGGCCTCGGTGGCCCCGGCCAGGCAGAGCAGGATGAACGTGGGGTTCCTCAGGAGAAGCCAGATGGAACTGGAGGGGTGGGGAGAGGGGACCAGAGAGAAGAGACAGAGGGTCAAAGTGGGCCAGAGCCAGGGCCTGAGCAAACCACGGTGCCTCAGGCCGTCGCCCCCCCCTCCTGAGGACAAGGAGCCCAGGGGCGTGCGGCCTCGAGTCTGGCTGTGGGGCCGAGGGAGTGTGTTCACTCGAGGAGACGGCAACTCTGCAGAATGGTTTTCGAGAATGCTGGACGTGGGCTGTGAGCCTGGGGGTGTTCATGTCACACCTTACAGCTTCGTTGAGGAGCGGCCCTGTCACAGAGTGGAGAGGCTCAGTGCCAGGCTACAGTCAGCTTGTGGGACGAGGACACAGGCTCAGTGAGGGCCACTCACTCGGGGAGGACTGGGGTCCTGCCTTGTTAGAGGTTGGAGCAGTGCTTGTGCCCGAATGCGCCGTTTAAACGTGAAAGACACTCGGAGAGTACAAAAATGTCATGGGTGACACAAAACTGACAAAGCCCTCCTGACAGACAGTAAAGGAG